GTACTCTCAAATAAATAATGGCTCTCAAAGGCTAGATTAAATCCATTCCTACAATCCCACAGAAGGGTAAAAGACCATTTTACCCCTCCCTGACCCAAAAGTCCAAATGTTGATCAAAACCCTAAAAGTCAACGAAAGTCAACAGGAGGCAGTACGCGGCGCGTACCATCTCTGTACGCGGGGCGTACGCCGGTGATCCATAATCGGGGTCTCAACCCCTTACGCTGCGCGTTCTGAGAGTTACGCCTAACGTAAGTCTCAGTTTCAGCCTTTCTTGGATTTTGGTCTTAAACGGTTAAGACATAAACTCAAACTCCAGATCTGACTTCTCTAAGACCACTTAATCCATAAAGTCGAGACCTTTAAGCCTTTGCATGGCTGTAAAGGTCCCTAATCACTCTAACACCTTTCCTTCTTCCTCATAAAGTCTAGATCTCATGCATGGCTCAATATTCACGTCCAAGATTGGATTTTTATGAACATACAACTTATATTACCCTGAAATATGGCAGATCTAGGCCAATGGAGACCATTTTCTCATAAAGTCTCCACCTTGGGACCAAAAACCCTAAAAATTGGTCCAAGAAGCACAAATCACAAATGACAAGGAAAGCTCTGAGCTTTTTACCTCAGAAAGAAGCTCCAACCTCTGTAGAACTCGGATCTACTCTTGTCCACCAACTTCTACCTCCTAAAATGGCCTCCTCTTCTCTTTCACCACCTTGAAATGGCACTTTGAAGCTTAGAACACACACACACAAGCTAGGAACGAAGGGTAGCTCTCTATTAGGGTTTCACTCTCTGAAATGGTGGCTGAGGCTAAGGCCTTAACATTCCTTTTATAGTGTACAAGCCACAAATTAGGGTTTGCATCTGGGCCCGCTACGCCCAGCGTAACCCTGGGTACGCCCAGCGTAACCCTGGGTACGCCCAGCGTACCTAGGCGAGTCCGCGTCCAACTTAAGCGCATGAGTACGCGCAACGTACTCTTCAATACGCCCGGCGTACTCATTTGCCTTAATATTTCTTTTAAGGGCTTAACTTGACAACTTGGAAAAAGGAGAAGGCTTTAAGAGACGCACCTGAATTTCGGGATGTTACAATTCTCCCCCACTAGAACCAGACTTCGCCCACGAAGTCTCATGCCGCAAACAACTTCGGATGCTGCTCCCGCATCTCTGACTCCGGCTCCCAAGTCAGCTCGGACCCTCTCCGATGTTGCCACTGGACCTGAACCAGAGGCACCTCCTTGTTCCTCAGAACCTTGATCTTCTGGTCCAAGATCGCGATCGGTCTCTCAACATAATTCAGACTTGCATCCACCTGAATATCCTCCAGCGGCACCATTGCCGACTCGTCGGCTATACACTTCCTCAGCTGAGACACGTGGAAGGTATCATGAACCTGGCTCAGCTCCGCAGGTAGCTCCAAACGGTAAGCTACCCTGCCTACCCTAGCGATCACTCTGAAAGGACCAATGTACCGGGGTCCCAGCTTGCCCCTCTTCCGGAATCGGATCACTCCTTTACAAGGAGACACCTTCAGGAGCACTAAGTCTCCCACCTGGAACTCGAGCTCGGACCGTCGCCTATCCGCATAACTCTTCTGGCGACTCTGAGCTGTCAACAACCTCTGTCTAACCTGCTGTATCTGCTCTGTCGTCTGAAGCACTATCTTAGTGCTGCCCGTCACTCGCTGCCCCACCTCTCCCCAGCAGATGGGAGTCCGACACCTCCTCCCATACAACAACTCGAAGGGAGGCATACCAATGCTCGAATGGTGGCTGTTGTTATAGGAAAACTCAGCCAACGGCAAATACGTGTCCCAACGTCCACCGAAGTCCAACACACATGCTCGGAGCATGTCCTCAAGTGTCTGGATCGTCCGCTCACTCTGTCCGTCCGTCTGTGGGTGGTAGGCAGTACTGAAATACAGTCTCGTGCCCAACTCCTCATGGAACTTCTTCCAGAATCTGGAAGTGAAACGTACATCTCGGTCTGACACAATCGAGATCGACACTCCATGACGCGATACCACCTCTCTCACATACAACTCTGCCAGCCTCTCAACGGTAGAGCTTTCACTGATAGCAAGAAAGTGAGCGCTCTTCGTCAGCCGGTCGACGATCACCCAAATTGCATCGACACCTCTCGCAGTCCTCGACAATTTGGTGATAAAATCCATGGAAATTTGTTCCCACTTCCACTGGGGAATCTCAAGTGGCTGCAATTTGCCATGCAGCCGCTGGTGCTCGGCCTTAACCCTACGACAGGTCAAGCACCTCTCCACAAACCACGCAACATCCCTCTTCATACAGGGCCACCAATAGTCTATCTTCAGGTCCAAATACATCTTAGTGGCCCCCGGATGGATCGAAAACCTCGATCTGTGCGCCTCCTCCATCAGAATGGTACGTGCCCCGCCCTCAAATGGCACCCAAATCCGACGCTGAAAGGTCATAAGCCCTCGGCTATCGGCAATGAACTCAGATACCTGCCCGATCACTCGTTCTCTCTTGCGGTTCTCCGGTCTCATGGCCTCTTCCTGGGCCTCCCAAATGGTGTCCAACACCGGAGTCATCACCGTCAACCTCATACAAACATCTCGTATCGGGGCACTCTCCGCCCTACGGCTCAAGGCATCGGCTACAACGTTAGCCTTGCCCGGGTGGTACAGGATCTCGCACTCATAATCCTTTACCACATCCAACCATCTCCTCTGGCGCATATTCAGGTTGGGCTGATCCATCAGATACTTCAAGCTCTTGTGGTCCGTGTATATGGTACACCGGACCCCATACAAATAGTGACGCCAAATCTTGAGGGCTGATGATATATGGTCCATTAGCATGGCCTAGACTGCTCCAGCGCGCCAGCCTGGCCTGGCGCGCTCCTGCCAGCCCTGCCTGTCGTTCCCTTGCCAGCCTTGCTGGGGACTCCCTTGCCAGCCTTGCTGGGGACTCTCCCGCCGGCCCGGCCTGTCGCTCCCTTGCCAGCTTTGCTGGGGACTCTCCCGCCGGCCCGGCCTGGCGCTCCCTTAACAGTCTTTCCTAGTGCGCACCCGCCAGCCTTGCCTGGGGTGCGCCCGCTAGTCCCGCCCGGCGCCTCCGGGCGGCCTTGCCCAGCTCCTTGCTAGTTGGGCCTGAATTGGGCTGGCCCAAGGCCTGACCTAATTGTCCCCTATATAATGAATAGTATCTCCTCCATGGAGAGGGATCTTTCCCTAGATCTTCCCCTTGGCTCAGCTGCCGCCCTATACTCCGGCCAGGTGGCTCAGCCGCCACCCGCCGCCGTTAGCCATCATACACCACCACTAGCACCAAGATGGTTCTCTCCAGCTATGGAGGACCATCTCAGATCTTCTAGCTGATCTAACTTGACCGTCGGAGCCCGCTCCAGGGGAACAGTCCCTGGGTCGGCTTTAACGACTTTGCACTGTGATGTCAGATCTCCGCCGCAGCAGAAGACTAGCAGAGCCGCCGGAGGTCGATGTCGCATCATTTGGCGCCATCCCGGACTCGAACGAGCAGCCATCATCTCGTTCTTGCCTAGATCTGTTTAGATCTGTTGTGCTTCAGCTCAGGTTTGACCAGATCTGTTAATGTTTAGCATCATTTGGTTCAGATCCGTTTGGTTCTTGCCAAGATCTGTCCAAATGCTTTAGTTTTTCCCCAGATCCGTTCAGATCTGATGTGTTTTCATCTAAGGTTTGCTCAGATCTGTCCATTTCTACATTCCTTAGTTCAGATTCGTTTGGATCTTGGCAAAAATATATCCAAATCTGATTAGCTATGTTTCAGATCTTTGGATCTGATGACTTTTTCTTCAGATCTGTTGATCTACTTCATTTTTAGCTCAGATCTCTAGATTTGAAAGTTTTTGTTTACTTAATCATCTCTCAAGTTTCAAAACACCAACTCAGACCCGTTTTAATAATATTTTCGGGGAGAGAAGAAGTTCTCAGGAGCTCTTCTTCGTCTTTGTTCACATCTTGGTGTTTTATCCAAGCAACTTGAGAGTTGAAGAACTTTTTTCGTAATTATCTACTTTACTTTCAGTTTATGTTATCAAGAAATCACCATCAGTTTGCAAAATCTTATGTACAACTTCATATAAGTTGTTTTCGTGCTTTCTTTAGAAGTTCAGAGAAGAGACACGGAATTTTTTCCAGATCTGTTCTTGCTCACATCTTGAGAAGATAAGAAAGTTTATGGGAAGAAAACCCTATCAAATTCGTTGTTGTTTATATTTTCGTGTCTTTCCAGCAAGTTTAATCAGAAAAGAAATTTTGTTGATTATTTAGTGTTTTCCTTGGGAGTCTGAAAAAAAATAAAAAATTGTGGGTTTTACCCTTCTTCAGTTTAGTTTGATGATTTATTGAACAAGATGAAGAGAAAATAATTTTTTAAAGAGTTTTTACCTTATTTTTCAGTGCATATATTATCAGAAATTCGTTTAACAATTTCATTCCTCATAGCAGTCGTTCGTAAATCCAGCTGTGTATATTGTACATTCCAAAGCTTTTTAAAAAAAAAGGGTAGAAAGAAGTTCTACTAAAAGAGCAGATCTGTAAAAAGAGTTTCATATAAAGGCAACAGTTCGTAAAAAAAAACGATATTTTTACAGCTCACATTACAGTAAATTCACAGTAAATTGTACAAAATATTACTGTCAATTCTAATCTTACAATAAAAAAAGGGGGGGAAAGGTGACTGGACCCCACCAGTCACTTGTACATGTTTCACTTCGATAAAAAAGAAGAGGGGAGGAGGTGGTACCTACCACCTATTGCTATCTTTTACTGTCAATCACAAATACAAAAGACTATTCAAAGTCATTAGAAAACACAAAATACCGCAGGTGGGCCCCATCCGTCTCATTCATCTAATCCATCAAATAGAAAACACGGTGGTCCGATGACCACCTTCTCCAGTTGATCCTCCACCACCGGCATCGATTAACCGGCAACAATCACCATCACCGGTCAACTCCCGCTAGCCGATGATAGCACAACCAAGCAGCATCCTACCGGAAGCACCCTTGGAACTACACCGGATACCGAAATCTGAGTGTTACCGATCACCCTTAGCTCTTATGGAGCGTCTCCGGTCGCTCCCAGCCTTCACCTGTCACTCCCATCCAGATGACAGCGCCCATGAACCATCTCCAACCACACCCGTTTCTTCTCCAATCATCGATTATCGGTGTTTGACTGCATCCTCCAGCCGATCGAAGATCATCGTCTCACTGCAGCAACCATCGGGCCCCTGTTTTCCTTGATCCATCGCTGGGAATTGAAGCAAGCACTTCACCAGTCGAATACCTTCACCGGACCAGGCCTCGCCGGACCTGAAACTACGACGTAACTGGTCGTTAACAGCCGGTCGGCGACATCCAACACAAAACGCAGATCCTTGTGGCCCCTCATCTTAAGGACCCAAGGCCGCCGGTCTCTTTCATTGCTCCGAACGCTAAGCCGCGTGTTAAATCAAACGACAGCAGCCCAAAAACCCGTGTGGGACCCCCCTGGTCCAATCTCTATGTACAGAAAAAACAAAAGTTGGGATCCATCGGGTCAACACATCTTCCCGGACAGTCAAAAATCTCCGAAAACCCCAGCTTCTATTATCGGAAATTTGGCACCACCAACCGGAAAACCTCTACCTTCAGCACAGGTGATGAAGGTCGTTCGGTCCCGACCAAGCAGCATATGTCGGGTCCCTATTCCTTGTTCGTTGTCCGTAAATAAAGAAACGCATCGACCGCTTGATTCGCCTATCGGAGCAACCCAACACCACTGCAAATCTTCCCGATGACTGCAAGCTTCCGATCGCTAATCAGCAACCACCACCGAGACAACTCCTCTCGCTGTCATCGACACTCACCTGTGAACCTTCGATCCCGCTGAAGAATCAACAAACTCTTTGCCGACCTGACCCATGGCACCATCAAAAGCATCTCCGGTCATCTCTGCTCCGAACTGCAACATCACCCGTCGCCGAACAACTGCAGCCGCCAACTGGAGCTACACTGCTGACCGTCGCCATCTCTGGCCACTTTCAACCTTCGATCCAACACATTCACGTTATCAGAAGACGCTGCTTCGACTCACTTATGAAGCGAGCAACCTCCGATCTTGACAAGAGAGCCAAAAGAAAAATGAAAATGAAGAAGAAGAATAATATCTCCGGTGGTTGACGTTTCCTTTCCCTTGGCGTTTTTGTCACAGCTCGTACCGGTGCCCTAACGCGGTACACAAACAAATTGGGATTAAAATTCATAAGTGGGCCGAATCCTAGATGAAAACTCAACAATCACATTTTGGGCTCTATGGGTTTCCCCAAATCAGTTTTTCTTTTACACTGGTGGGCCAGCTCAAAATATAAAATGGGTCACTCCTGCAAAACAACTGCATGCTATTTAAAAATGCGTTTTCTGAAAATGCGTTGTAGCCGGGACTACTCGACACCTTTTTTCTAAAAAAAAAAAAAGAGAAGTGGGCCTGATGGACTGAAATTTTATTTTGGGCTCCAGCAATCTTGCTGGGTGTCTCTCAAATCAGTTTTTAATGTTGATGTGCTAACTCAACAATTAAAATTGACACTTCTTGCAAGACAAATTTTAATGATCAGCCCTAACACCCGCTTGTTGAGATCCCGCCCAACAAAACCCGACTTTAGAAGATACGTTACAACCTAGATCACTCTCCATTTTCAAAAAAATAAATAAATAAATAAATAAAGGAAAGAGAGAAGAGAAGGTGGTAATACCCATTTGTGTATATAGTTCATGCAAGAAAATTAATATTGGGCTGATAATCACGAGTGATTCCAATAATCCTCATCTTGGGCCTTTACAATTTCGAAAATGGGTTGCCATTTTATTTCGGGCATCTCTCATTTGGGCTTCTTCACATTGTTGGGCATTTCTCATACAAGAAAGTTGGGCCTATAATTCTATAGTAGGCTTCTTCAAGATGTTTTCTCCCAAGCTATTGGGCTGCAAAATACATCTTAGCTCCTATTATATTGGTATTTGATCATATTGGGCTATGCCAACAAGTAACATGGGCCATCTTTACAAGACAAAAATCAGAAATTTAATAGATGCGTGCCGCAAACTCCGTTCAATAAAATATACTTTCAGAAGTTGCGTTGCGGCCAAACCAACTTGATGTTTAAAAAAAAAGAGGGAAAGAGTAGTAGCTCCTACTACTCGTGAAGTATTTCGAAACAACCCTCAGCAACCGCATTGCTCGGCTATCAGCAGTCGTGGTGACCAACTGCAGGCAGTCTCGCTACTCACCCCTCACCATTCATGTTGACCGGCCCTCACTAGTCTCACGGCTCAGCCCTCAGCAGTCACCCAGCCCAGCCATAAGCAACCATACGAACCAACCCAGCAGCCGCAAAGCCTGGACACTAGCAGCTACATTGTCTGCCTCCCAGCAGTTGCCTTGCCCAACTCCCAGCGGTAGCGCTACCCAACTCTTGTCGGCCTGCTTGAATCGCCTAGCTCTTTCTAGCAGCTGTATTGCTCAGATTCCAGCAGCTATGCATCCAACGTTCTCTCTCTCCGCCTCCTATAATAAAAAGAAAATTGGGGGGGGGGGGGAGAAGGATTAGTGACGCCATGCAGAAGTGCTTTTTATTCTGAAGGGGCAGAGTTAAAGTACATGAAGAATTGATACTATGCACGGTAGTGCATTCCCGAGACGACATTAGTATTCCGGGTTGAAAGAGCAGCATCGTGGTCCAACTCTCGGTAGTCTTGTTGCCCAACTCTCAATAGTCTGTGTTGCTCACCTATCGCTAGCAGCTCGCTGCCCGGGCCTCAACGGCCCTGCTGACCAGTTCCTGACAGCAGCCTCATTACACACCTCTTAACAGTAGCTACGCTATCAAGCTCTAAGTATCACTGCCACATAGCTCTCCGCAAACAGCCAAGACACCGAGGCCTCAATTGTTAGTACGACTAGCGAGGCAGCAAAGCATCAGGTACCATTCCGCTTTAACCCAGACTGGTCACACGAGCTAGACACATAGATTGTAAGGTGCTACGCCCAGTCGTGCGAGGTTCAGTACCCTCGCCTCGAGTCGCTTGGCTTCTCAGCCCGACTCCATTATAGCGGCAAGCTCCGCATGCGAGGTTCAGTACCCTCGCCAAGAGTCGCCTGGCTTCCCAGCCCGGCTCCATTATAGCGGCAAGCTCCGCATGCGAGGTTCAACACCCTCGCCTCGAGTCGCTTGGCTTCTCATCCCGACTCCATTATAGCGGCAAGCTCCGCATGCGAGGTTCAGTACCCTCGCCTCGAGTCGCCTGGCTTCCCATCCCGGCTCCATTATAGCGGCAAGCTCCGCATGCGAGGTTCAGCACCCTCGCCTCAAGTCGCCTGGCTTCTCAGCCCGACTTCATTATAGCGGCACACCCCGCATGCAAGGTTCAACACCCTTGCCTTGAGTCGCCTGGCCTCTCAACCCGACTCCATTATAGCGGCACACCCCGCATGCAAGGTTCAGCACCATTGCCTTGAGTCGCCTGACTTCTCAGCTCGACTCCATTAACGGCATGCTTTGCCTATATGAATCCACGCGATGCTTTCCCGCGTGATGTACTTACGATCGTTGGCAGCCAAGCCCGATCTGTTCCACGCGATGCTTTCCCGCGTGACATCTCCATGACCGTTGGCTGCTAAGCCCAGACTATTCTTCTAAGTCGCGCAACATAAGTCGCGTATCGTCGCGCATCGTAAGTCGCACATCGTAAGTTTATGTCATGCTTAGCACCATATTTGGTGTCTCTTCTCTTATAATCAACATGGTTTTCCTATGCTCGGACGATCAATAAGGCGTTTCCTACATCTGGTTGTCTATTATGATAGCAAACAACCTCACTGGGTATTCTCATAAAAACCTTGCCTATGCACCATAGTCTGATACGGCTACCTACGCTACCCACATCAGACTGGGGGGAATCCAACTAGGAATAGATCGAGCAAGAAACACCTTCAGAATGGTTATCAATGCTCATGAAGATAATTATCGATGACATTCCCCCAAGACGATAGAAACGCCACGACAGAGATGTCATACACCAGCCCCGCTCCGCAATAACATTATTAGCAGCTTTGCTCCGCATAACACTGCCAGCAACAGTTATGTTGCGTCGCCCCAACTGGCTCACGCTCCTCTCAGTAAAGGAGTATCAAGTCAGCTCAAGTTGCATAAGAAATGTTTGGCTCATCGCACAACCCCACGGCTCTCGTGGGCGAGGTTCGGTCATTCTCTCTATTATTTAATGTATTTAGTGCTTTATCTAGTCCGATCCGATTGTCAGCAACCCAATTGCATCAGACTAGGGGGACTTGACGACGCACAGTTTATATGACTAGTTCCAGTCCGATGTCATTGGCCGCGTACCAATAACACCAGACTAGGGGGACTTGCTGATATATGGTCCATTAGCATGGCCTAGACTGCTCCAGTACGCCAGCCTGGCCTGGCGCGCTCCTGCCAGCCCTGCATGTCGTTCCCTTGCCAGCCTTGCTGGGGACTCCCTTGCCAGCCTTGCTGGGGACTCTCCCGCCGGTCCGGCCTGTCGCTCCCTTGCCAGCCTTGCTGGGGACTCTCCCGCCTGCCCGGCCTGGCGCTCCCTTAACAGTCTTTCCTAGTGCGCGCCCGCCAGCCTTGCCTGGGGCGCGCCCGCCAGTCCCGCCCGGCGCCTCCAGGCGGCCTTGCCCAGCTCCTTGCTAGTTGGGCCTGAATTGGGCTGGCCCAAGGCCTGACCTAATTGTCCCCTATATAATGAATAGTATCTCCTCCATGGAGAGGGATCTTTCCCTAGATCTTCCCCTTGGCTCAGCTGCCGCCCTATACTCCGGCCAGGTGGCTCAGCCGCCACCCGCCGCCGTCAGCCACCATACACCACCACTAGCACCAAGATGGTTCTCTCCAGCTATGGAGGACCATCTCAGATCTTCTAGCTGATCTAACTTGACCGTCGGAGCCCGCTCCCGGGGCACAGTCCCTGGGTCGGCTTTAACGACTTTGCACTGTGATGTCAGATCTCCGCCGCAGCAGAAGACCAGAAGACTCGCCGGAGGTCGATGTCGCATCAAGGGCGAACACCACAGCCCCCAGCTCCAGATCGTGAGTAGGATACCTCATCTCATGAGGCTTCATCTGCCTCGATGCGTATGTTATCACGTGCCCTCTCTGCATCAGCACCGCTCCCAACCCCGATATCGACGCGTCACAATACACGACAAAATCCTCCATCCC